TGGAAAAGCAAGAAATAATCTATTGTTTCTCAATCATCCACCGAAGCAGAATTTCATGCCATGACATCTATTACCAAAGAGATTGTTTGGTTACATTGGTTACTTGCTGATATGGGAGTTTCGTTTTCTCATTCTACTCCTATTTATTGTGACAATCAGAGTTCTATTCAGATTGCTCACAACTCGGTTTTTCATGAGCGAACTAAGCACATTGAGATCGATTGTCATCTTACTCGTCATCATCTCAAGCATAGCACCATTGCTTTGCCTTTTGTTCCTTCTTCCTTGCAGATTGCAAATTTCTTCACCAAGGCACATTCCATCTTTCATTTTTGTTTTCTAGTTGGCAAACTCTTGATGCTCGTAGCTGTCGCATCGTGAGTTTGAGGGGAGATGTTAAATAATATTTATGTAGTCTTATTTATTAAGGGTAGAATAGTACTTTCAGTTTAATCTATATATACTTTATTTGTATTTAGGTTAATGTTAAGTATTCATAATATACAGATTATTCAGAATTCTAGTCTCCTTTTTGTGTTTGATCTTAATAATTTTAATATTTTTTACTTCATGATAACCTTGCATTGAGGCCATTGAAACAAATTATCAAGGTCAATCTCAAATAAAATCATTGTGAAGGATCAAGTTGAAAAGGAAAATTTTTTGCGAATGTACAATAAAAGGCTTTTAACTCTTTTAGAATTTTGTTAATAAAATTTTATCTCATCTTATGAAGTTTTGAGAAATCTTAATAGTGACCGCTCACATTCTATTTTTCTATTGTATTATGAGAAAATATAGATTTCTTAGCTAATATAAAACTATTTTTTTATATTCAGTGTTTTTTTAATGGAAAATTGAAAAGGTGTTAATGATGAATATGAACTTTTATTATATATAAAAATACAAGATTACAACTATTTTTTTTAAAAAAAATAATCAAAACTCATCTTAATGGTTTGCTTCCGTGGTAATCTAATTATATAGTATTAGTTTTATTTTATTTAAATTGAGAATTTTCATGAAAAGTTATATTGCTAATTACTTAATAAAAAATATTTATATTAGATTTATAGTAAAAATTAAATTTATTATACTAATTTTTTATTTATATTTTTTACATTGCTAAAAAGTGTTTGTATATAAAAGAAAGAAAATTTGTTTCTCATTTGTTTTTTATTTATTTGAAAAACAATGAAAATAAGAAAAATCGAAGAGAACCTCTCAAATTTATTTTCTAAACTCCTAGAAAATATGAAAAATTAGTTTTTTCCTGAAAAATAGCACTAGGAAATTCTAATTATATTTTTTCTTATTCTAACTTTATTTTTTCAAAAAATTAAAATATTATTTTGTTTCTGAAAAACCCTAAAACTTTAGTATAAATACAATACTGGAATGACCTCGCATAAGTTTTTAACTTGTACGGAATGCTCAATTAGGTCCACAAACAATTTTTTTCCTCAATTTCATATTTTATATCTGAAATCCTCAATTGGATTATTCTATCTAAAATTATCTAGATATTTTAACATAAAAAGACATGTTCTATTAAAAAAAAAAAACCTTTTGCTGCATTAATTTAGCACCTGACACATAGGAAATGTTAAAGTCCTAGTTCAAAATCGGTGTATAGATTAAAAACTCATAAGATTACAAGTTGAGAAACCCATACTTTGGTCAAAGTTATCAAACTCATCCCGATCCATCCAACTTATCTGAGATAATAACATCACACTGAAGTTAAAATTTTAACGAATTTCATCATTTTTCGGCGAGAAAGGGAGCGTCATGTGATACAGGGTAGTGTGCATGCATAAATCATAAGAGACGAGGTAAGAATGACCCTTGTACCTTAATCTCATTGTTCAAGATTAACCCTAACAAGCTTTTACCCTTGAAGGCCTTATAAACCATACCAGGTGATTGATTTAATACACGCATGAATTTTTTGTGCCGAAAAAATGAATGTCACATTTCTCTCAAAGACGTTCATTTTCTGCGTGTTTCCAAATGAATATTTACCACAAGCTTTTCATATTTATATATTTGATGTCATTACAGAATTCAACAATATAACGTTGTGCATCCGATCCTCATCATAACATGCAGAAAAAGAAATGAATAGTACCACTATATATGATAGGAGACACGGGTGATAAGCGTCTGAGAGACTTCGGAGGTGAGGAGGAAACTTAATTTACACACTCACTCAATATTGCCGTGAAGAGAGAAGCTGCAATGGAAATACAAGAACAATATGGTACATATCTTTTGCTAACGCATGTGCATTTAAGATCATGCAGGCGACTGCCAGATTGTCTGCCATTCCGATCAATTCCAGCATCAAGTTTAACTTTGTATGCAGTGCGGCCTTCAAACCTGCTGTTTAAGCAAACCAAATAGTGGTTCAAAAGATCCAGACATCATGCCATTAGTCTCATTGTTCATGGCTACGACCTACATGTAAAATAGTCATGCCGACAACATCCAGTTTGCCTTATAAAAAAACTTGATGAAAGTGCTTGACACGGTGACATCCTAAGATTATTCATTCTCATGCTCACCTGCGTCTGTAGACGTTGATTTTCCTCCCTTAGTGTCTTTTCCTGTTGAGAGAGAAACTTATATTTCAGCAAAATCAACATCTAATTATGGATGGAGAGATTAGCAGTCCACGTGATGTGTGATGGCCTTATACATTCTCACACTAGCTAGCTAACTCGTTTATATTTCTCTCCGTAAAAATGGAATGCGGCACCGAGACGTCCAACTCTAATTCTAACACAGCTATTCATGTTGAATGACACGTGTGCATTACACCCTTGCACAAACAGGCGTACAAAGACATGCTGGAAGAGATACTGTGCAAGCAAGCAGCACATGTTTGTACCAAGACAAAAATGCAGTCAGATAACAGTCCTATGACATTCATATTTACTTCAAATGTATAATTTATTGTTCCATTTCTTCATGATATTAGTTATTAACTGCCCTCGTTCGAGTTTTACTTCTGATTTATCTGATACCCTTCCCGAGGAGAAGGGCGTGAGAAAAGCACAGTAGCTCGACCCAGCCTTTTAAGAGGTGATAATTTAGAGACAACAAAGGCCTAAACAAGATTATCTCACACATAATATTATCCTAGACATTCGTTGGAAGTGAAACAAATGATTGGACGAGATATATAGTTCTCCGATGTCTGTTCAGAAGCATTCCAGGTTTCATTTCTGAGTTCTTTACTGGGTAGCATGCCATCATGCAACATACCGCAAGAGGCAGAGCAAACTTTTTTAGATGACAATTACAGCATATACAAACAAATATTAGATGCAGGCTTGGAACATCATCAATTGATTGAGACATCTGAATGTAACAGCTTCTAAGAGATTTGCAGGAAGTTCCAAGTCGCACCATTCTTGCTAATATATATTTTTTTACAATCCTCATCTTATCATCTATGTGAGTATTTTTGCATGCTAGAGGTCCGCCGGTAGGATGTGAAGGGCAATAGGTTTTCTCGGCTAGCAGCTAGCCTTTTCAAAAGCATTAAAGATCATGCAAGTGTTTTCCCAGTCAAGGTGTTTGGATGAATATAAAACCTGGAAGTTGTATCGAGGATCATCTTTACACCATCCTGTTAAGGCCTAAAGACCTGCTAGAGCAAAATTGAGCATCTGAAGTGCTGAGGTCTGGTTCTCAAAGAAGCATCCATGCATTGGTTGCAAATGAAAACGTAGATTTTAAATGAACGATTGTGAAAGCATGGATGCTGCTAGTGTAGAACTATTAGAATAAAGTCTGCGGCATGTGATGGACAAACCAGAAGTTCCTTTCTACCCGTTCAAGCAGCCAGCTGTATGCAGGTTGACTAGTTGTAATCTAGTGATTACAATCCCGTGTTTTTACAAGCTACGCTGGAAATATTTTTCTAAATCTAGTAAATAATCATCGAAGCTTGATCATATAAAAAGGGTATATGTAGTCTAGGGGAACAATTGGAATAATTTCATAAATTAAAGATCAACTTTTCTTTTTCCTCGAAACTTGAATAGAGTGATGGATGGCAGAATATTGATAGTTGCAAACTAATGTTTGATAATGAAATAAGCTCCATACCTTGTCATGGAGGGCATTAATTGTTTCCAACATCAGTTGCGTCTGAAACAAACACAAATCAAATGAGATCACAAAATGCAGAGTGAAAGTTCAAAAAGCATAGAGCGATGGCAACTTTCTTATGTTCAAACGAATATATGCCACCTAAAGACCTTGAAGGAGAGAACTTCAATGATAACTAAAGGTAGTCATGAAATAGATAAGAGTTGCTCATCAAGGCTAAGCATCTAGTTCTTCCTCTTAAGTCAGCTAATGAGACCACACTAACAAGTTCAGGACTGTCTTGGAATACAGGCTTTTTATTTGTTTCTTTATTTTTCTTTCAGCAAATGGGCATCCTGACTACCCCTCCAGCTAAATGCAAACCAATACAGCCACATGTCCCATGTGAATCTCGGACTGAAGTCCACATGCGTAGCCAAACATGGAACTGTTTGGCATCTAGCAGCATTGAAAACCAACCTCGATTTCGTGTTCTAATACACAAATCACAAGCAAGTACATGACTACCATGGACCTGTGGAGTGTGCCAGTTAGTGGAATTATTGATCATTAGCCAAGAAGGTGCTTAAATGAAGAGACGCAGACATGTTGCTGAGATCTTTTCCAAGTTTACTTGGAGTTAGGTTGTCTATGCATGGAATGCACAGCATAATATCTCCAAAGTGTCAATAAAAGAAGGCACAAAGCATTTTTATATAGATCAACATATTAAACCCTCGGCAAGTTATGTTGGAGGAATGTTTCTTATCTTTTTCTTTTTTTTTTCTTTGGAGAATTATGCTAGAGGGACAATCAAGGTAGCTCAAAACAAGGGTATCTAATTTTCAAGTCTATATCAAGTCTAGATCAAGATATTGATGTGAGACTGTAAACCTAGTAATACCAATAAAGTATTATTATATGGGACGTGCTCCATTTTGTAATGGATGCGATCAAATCATCACACGCAGAGCATGTTAAAAGGAAATGGTGCCACTATTAATGCACTTGGCGGCATCAAATATTTGTCGAGTGGAGCAATTTGGTCCATGATGCACCATATAATGGCTCATCAAATAAAAAAGACAGAGAAACGAATGACCTTTCTAGCTCTCGTACGTCTCAGTGCAGCATCAAGTTGCATCTCCGTTTGTTCTAGGTCGCTTAAGGTCAGCTCCTCGAAGTTTGAATTCCCAACTTGCCTGTGGATACTGTATATATATACGTATCTGAATAGATAGCATGCATTGATATCCATAACATTTAGCATAGGTATACAGGAAGCTATACAAGTTACCTTTGTACTGTCTGCAACAGCTCGGCATACGACTTGATTTTTTTTTCATATTTACCGTGATATAGCTGCAGATGAAATAGGAAATGTGTAAAGTCATACCTAGTTTCGAATTACAAGATAAAAACCAAGCAAATAAGAAAGAATATCATGATACGAAAAGAATGAGCTACGGTGTAATTTTTTTATCAGCTTTTCCATTGTTAAAACATCATTCTCTACATGCATGTTTTAGCCAGACAAAAGTAATTGCTTACCTCTGCATCATTAGCACCATTAGACAATGCAGTTTTCTCTTCGAAATAACTCCTGTGACGTTTCAGGATTTTGGCCAAACTGAGTAGTAGAATTGATGGGATTAGAATGAAAATCCACAAAATACAAAAATAAAGCGCTCACGCAAATCAGCGTTGTTCAACATTGTCTACATCATATGGTAGACAATGAATGCAATCTTCAATAAACATCTTAGAATATATGTCGCACTTTTATAGACACAAGCCCTACATAAACCCTAAAGTCTTTGAACAAAACTACGAGTTATGAGATATGAACTACGTAACATGTGATTCTCCAAAACATCTTGGTTAAGGAGCTACTTAAAAACAGCTATATAAACACCACAAAACACCCGAAAGGGTCTAGGTAACTATTACAGAAAGAACAAGAAATATAGCTGTCTGTCTCAGCAGCCAAAAAAATGTCTTAAAGAAACCACACCATAAAACTTAAATATGCTTTCAAAAAAGCCGCACAAAAAACTAAAGAGACTTCTTCTGTCGGAGTAAGAGCCAACAGACTCACTTACAAACCTCACACAATGTTCATTTCTTAGTGCACAAAAAATACAAAAATAAAATAAAATTGATCATGTGTTAAATAAAAATAACTATATTTGAGCGATACCTAATTTTACACTTGCCTCGACAAAAATAAATATCTATAATTAAAGCAGTGATATTAGATGTTAAATAAGGATGAAAAAAATTCATCACTGCAGATTGAAAGATGTATCGAGATCATAGTTAAAAATTAATACCCAAAAATAATCGTTGTAAAGGGACAAGATTTTACTGACTAATGGAATAAGTTTAAGATTTTATTTTTGGTGGTTCTCACCAAACTGCAAGTTCAAAAAAAGTTTTTGATCAATAAAACAGACTTCTGCGAGGAAAGTACACTTTATGGAGACTCGGGGAACAGTTATTAATTAAACTTGACACTAATGGCTTATCAGAGGCAGCCTGCAATCAAAATGGATACTTATTCACGTTGTTGAGCGGCCGATAATCAATAATGGACAATGCTCCCGCTTAAGTTAAATGAAGAAATCTTTTTAACTTAAAAGAAGTTTAATAATCGAGTTTGCATTCTCAACTTTATAGTGGAGGTCAAAATAATGGTGGAGGGATACTATTCCTCATATTATTAAGAAGTATCGTTTTTTGATTGAGAATAGGCTTCCAATCTTTAATCTTCCATTATCAGAAATGTGACCAAGGTATAATACTCCTTTATTAACACCGGATATCAAGTTTCCACAACTTTGAAAAACCGTTGCTGTTACAAAGTGGGCAATGGAAAAGATTTATGGTTTTGGACAGATCGTTGGCTGAAAAACAGAACCCTAAGACAACAATTTCCTCAACTTTTTAACCACACAGCAATGCCAACAGCAAGGATTGCACATATGGGAGATTTGAATCTATTTTGGAAAAGGCACTTAAGGCATTCAAAGTTGGAACAAGTTAATCATCTTCTTGCACTGTTAGATGGAGTAAAACTAAAGCATCACACAGTCGATTCAAAACGTTGGGAATCTGAAAGAAATGGAGAATACACAATGAAATATTGCAACATCTTCTTTGACAGAATTGAATACCCGGGTATGTCTTCCATCTCATCAAAGATACTATGGAAAGGAAAAGCACCACCGAAGATTGAGATTTTCCTGCGGTTCTTAGTACTTCAAGGGAGAATTTGCACAAGGGAGTTTCTTGCATGTAGACATGTCATCAACTTAGAGCAAGCCATATGTCCCCTTGGTGCCTAATGAAATAGAATATGTTGAACACCTTCTCTTCAATGTTATGACGTTTGCAAACTTTGGAACCGTTTTATGAATTGGTTAGGCTTAGAACAGTGCATGACGAGGACCATAGAAGTAGTCTTGCTAGAAAGGAGTGTAGTGGGGAATTTGGTAGGTTTTTCATGACGAGATACCATATTGGAATATAGTTTTTGAGTTAATTTTTCATCGTCTAACTTTGTGGCTCAAGACTATTAATGGCAACTTCAAGTACACATGAATGGACTTGTTCAGAGGGTCATAAGGTATCCTGAAACGGACTCATAACCAATATCTTCATGTCATATAGATAAAAAAAAAAAAAAATTGACTTCTGAAGTCTGGTTGGTTTTTTTCTTTTCCTTGTTTCTTTTCCCCATTGTACATAACGACCTTTTTTCTTTGTTTTGATAATGCTATCGCCTTAATAGAGCTAGATTTATTTATAAATTCCTTGATTATTATAAAAAAAAAAAGGAATCAAAGATACTTTTTGCAAGGAAATGACACTTTCTAAGATTCAGGAATAATTATTAATTAAACTTATCACTAATGGCATGTTATAGGTAGTATGCAATCAAAGTGGATGCTTATTCTTGATGGTTAGGTTACCTTGTTGAACGACCAATAATCAATGGACAATGCTCCTGTTTAAGTTTAATGAAGAGATCTTTTTAACTTAAAGGAGTTTGATAAGGAAAAGCAAACCTCTTAGAAAAACAGACTTTATTATAGATAATTACGTGGTAGAGAAGCAGACTGAATTATAGATTATTATTTGGTAATAAAGCATGAATTTGGGTTATTGTATGAAAACCTTTATCACCAACAATGATGTCCTTTTTCTTGCTTGTTTTCTTCATTTTTGTTTGCATCAATTGGTATAAGAGCATAACAATTCTTGATGGTTATGTGTTATGTGTTGTTGAATAACCATAACGAGAAGAGGTGATCATAAAAAATAATGTGTTTATATAAAAAAAAATTTGATTCTTTCTTGAAAAAAAGATGTTAAAGAAGTGGTGATAAAAAAATATGTAAAGACAGATTGTAAAATTGACTGGTAAGTTAATAGTGATAAAGTTGCAAAGGTAAATTAAAGAATTATATAGTCAATTAACATAGATGAAGAAGAAAAACAAGAAAGATTATGAAAAGTATACTAATTATAAATCCATGATGAATTTTGAAAACGTATTTTAGAGGTAAGAGAAATCAATTTCTTAATAAGGATGAATATGATGTTAAAACTAGAATTACAATTTTTTTAAATGATCCTAGTTTTTTTTTAATGGATTGAAATCAAACACTAAAATTCAATGAAAAAGAGGTGGATGGTGTAGAAGAAGATGATTTTGATATAAAAACTTGGTATGTGATGACTCTAAGTATACAAAAGATATTCATGCTAACAAGCAAATATTTTAATCTTAATAGGGAAAGAAAGAACAAAACTAGATGTGGTTTTAAATGTGAGTTTTGATAAAGTATATTGTGGAGGATGCACTTCACATATGATTGAGAAGAATTTTAGAATTGATAGGATAAAAGTTAATGTTTTAAACTTCAAATGAAAACTACGAAGCAAATATTCAAAAGTTCTCCTAATAAAGAACCATCACACATCTTATTAGTGATGATATAAAATATACATACGAGATTGTTTGGTTTTTGTGGTATTAGGTCTCCAATTGAGTTAGATTTTAAGAAGGTTGTTACACATACATTGTATTTAACATAGCACTAAAATTCATTTCGTGGTGTCGTTGCTAAGAAGGATGAACATATTAAAAGTCTTACAATATAAAGTTATGATGTTAAAAGTCTTAGAATATAAAAATTAAAATCTTTTGATTGGACCACCATTAGATTGAAGCAAGAGTAATTAAATTCAAGAACAAGTTCTCTCCAACCTGATAAGACTAATGCAAAAGATTTTTTTTCTCGACACATAACCTTATATTAATGGACATAAATTTTGATTTGGTCATTGGATCATATTGAAATTTTGATAGGATATTTTAGAAACCTTATTTTTTATAGGGTTAAAATTTCATAGCCATTCGAGATTGATAAGGCGTAAAAGTTATTTTTCAAGATTTGTCAAATTTATCTAATTGATTTATTTTTTCTATTTAGTTTAAAGCTCTTTTTTATTATTTTTTTCAACTTTGTTTAGGATATTTTTACTTTTATATACACAACCTATAAGAGATTTAATATTGAATTTTGATTAAAGAAAATATTGAGATTGTACAAAAAAACAAATAATCCAAAATCATTTCTTAAAAATTCCAAACATTTGATTTTATGTAATTCCGTAATAGGATCTTCATTCAATGCCCAAGTTTTTTTTAGAAGTGGTTTTGGATAGAATATTTGATAAAATAGTAGTGCTTATCATAAAGTTTTGAAATTGTATCACCTTCTTATCATTGTTTATGATATTGTAATTACATTCTATAATATTTTCATTTATTAACTAAATCTTGTAAAACTTGAGGATTCATCAATATAACCAAAATTTCATTGCTGTCGAGCCACTTATCAAAATCCTTTTTATAATTATACATTTTTTGATGATCTAGAATAGAGATTCAGAGTTCTTGGACAATTTCTTTTGGATAGAACCACTGAGTTGTTGTCATAACATTTTACGATAAATTGTCAAATTGTTCATAACAAATGCAGTAACTTCTGTATAATTGAATTAGCATAACTTTGACATCTTATTTAATTGTAAGAATGCTTGCTAGTATACCATTCAAATGGTTATCTTTCATCTATTTGATTGTCACTATTTGTAACTCCTTCAGGCGGAGAGGTTTACATGTAAGGTGATCAGTATTTGTTCTAATAACGTTACACGTACTAATATTAGGCACTCCCATATCAATTATCTTAATTAAATCTTTCATTTTCCTGTTTTAAAAACAAGTATTTAAAATTAATTTTTTTTATTTTTTTCTATACTTTAAATTAATATTTTTTTAGTGTTTTCAGATCATTGTGATGCATTACTATTAAAAAATAATTTTAAAAAATAAAAAAATATATTATTTTCATGTATTTATAAATAAAAAATATTTTAAAAAATAAATATAAATAGGCTATTAGTCAAGGACAGGTTAGAAAGGCACAAAAGGTTAATCTTTCATTCAATTTTGGTGCAAGATCTGGATTCATAATATTTTTTTCCCCACAAATTACCGAAGGACATTGTCTCTTAATTTAAATGCTAAATGGGTTTATTCCTTACGTCATCATGCGGAATTCAATCCTACACGAAGCTATTACAAAGAAATCTCTCGTATGAATTACCTATATAAGACCTAGCCGAGGAAGAACTTAACTTACCTAGATAAGACCTAAATGAGGAGGAATACCAAGTTAAAAGCATCCTAGACAAGTAGCATACACGTGTAGGTGGTCATTCTGTCATATGAACAATGGTAGAGACATCCACCATCCAATGATGATAATGCTAGTGCAGTATATGTATGGTATTGTAATGGAGTGTATTTTTTAAAAATATTTTTTATTTAAAAAATCAGATTTTTATGTTATTTTTTATATAAATACATCAAAAGTATTGAAAAAACACTAAAATAATATTAAATTATTAACCTTTTTTAAGACACCTTTTTTTAAAAGTCACTCTACCATGATTTCAACACACTTGCAAATATTTACCGATACAAAGGTATTTTCCTCCTGGAAAAATAAAAGATAAAATCACATGCTAGCTATGACAGCATCAGCAACAAGCTGCTTTAAAAAAAAAAAAATGTACAGTGTTTGTTGTTTGTTTTTGTGATGATTTCATGTTTAAAAAGTTATTTTTTTATTTACATTAAGCTTTTATATATTTTTAGATATTTTGATATGCTAATATAAAATATAATTTTTTTTAAATAAAAAAAATATTACTCGAATTTATTTCAAAACAAAAAACTTTTTAAAAGAACAATTAAAACACTAGACTACCGTCCTTGTATAAACGTGTTAATCGTCATGTCAAACTATCGAACATACTCGTACTTATCACAACAACAACACTGAAATCAACAAAAAATAATGATAATGATAATCAGAAACATTAAATTATAAAAAACGTAGATAGAAACAAATCTAAGATTGGAGTACCTATCCCCTACAGAAATGATTATTTTATTAAGGATCGTTCTAGATAGAAGTAATGATAAACACCAAATATCCCCAGAAATAATAACAAAAATAAATAAATTATTTGTGAAAAAACAAAAATAGACCTGATCAAATAGGAAATCAGGAGCATGAAATCCAAGATTCAATGAGTTATCAAACAAACATGAACTATATGAAGAAAACTGTTCGTCATAATATTTTGTGCACAGTGCAGTGTAGCAGCATCAACTCATGTTGAGCGTTCGTTCCGGGTTAAGAGATTGAAGATCAATTTTGAGACAGAAAGCTAGCAGAGAAGTGAAACAAGGCAAGCTATAAGACATAAATAAAAGTAAGTACCTGCCGGCGCTAGAGAATTCATACAGCTTGCCACTACTGGAGAAGACGAGGAGAGCGACTTGGACGTCACAGAGAACAGAGAGGTCGCGTGCTTTCTCGATCAGTCTATTTCGCCTCTTCGAGAAAGTGATTTGACGACAGATCTTCTTTTCGATTCGCTTTAGCTCCACTTTCTTTCTCCCCATTCTCGATCCAGAATTCGACCTCACCTTATTTTTACCCTAATTTAAATTAAATAATGATGAAGGAATGCTACCAAAAATATATATAGAATATTTTATGTGTATATGGAATAAACTTTAATTTGTTTTCTCAAGGTTTTTTTTTTTTTTTTTACAATGTTTTTAGAAAGGTGAAATGTAAGGTCGGAAATTCGAATCATCAGCGTTCTGCCACGTGGATTCCGCCTTCGTCTCTCGATTTTATAACAAATCCTTTGACTTGTACTCAACAAAATATATATTCTCGGAATAAAGTGAAATATATAACAAAAATATACACGATTAAAAAGTACAAATAACAACTAATTAAGAAATGATTTCTCTCTTGTATTTTTTTTATGTTTACAGATGGAGTATTAAGAAAACTAGAGTATTTATTTTATATTTATTCTTTAATTATAAAATAAATATAAGCAATTAATATGGTAATAAAATAGCAATGTTTTATTTGTACGCCCCCTTGAAAAATGGAAGTTGTAATTGCCTTGAGAATATAATTAGATATCTTTTTGATTGATAGTCCAGGATTATTGTTTAAATATTATTACATTTTTTGTGCATGTTTTTTTAAATAAAAAGTATTTTATTTATTGCATAGTATATTTCATCTCTAAATGATAAAATTAAAAATTAATAAAATTTTATTAAAAAATCAAAGAAAAAAACTTAAAATCAAAATAATAGGTATCAAAATAAAGAATTTAATGTTTAGTAAATTATGACTAAAAGTTAAAATTAAAAACAAATAAAACTTCTGAAAAAAAAATAAGACTAAAAATTATAAATCAAATGAATAAGGATTAAAATTGAAATACCAATAGCAAATATTGCCAGGTTGTGATTTTTTAGGAAGGAGAGAGAGAAAAAAAAATGAGGGTGACAGGGGCCACCAACAACAAAATGAATCATCATTGGAAACATGTGTTGTGCCAATGAAAAAAATATATAAGAATGCTTTTAATAATATGATGAAAAGATATTTTTAAACTTTAGATAATAACATCCATTACCTGAAATATATAATCATCTTTCACTTGTCTCTAGTGTTGTATAACTGCACCTATATTTTTTTTATTTTCCAAACATAAATTATCTCTTGGTATCATATATATAAACTTGAAAGGTTTTTTTTTTCCTTTTACATTGTTTTATACAAAACCATTGACTTTAGGTTTTATTTTTTTTATTTTATAGGCATTATGGTTTGTTTTATTGTGTATTCTAATTATTTATTAGTTTTTATATTTGGTTAAATATCAAATTTTCCCTTAATTGATACTATAATAATAGCAAATGATTGTGAAAAATACTAATATGCCCCTTGATGTCAAGTTTAAAATTGTTGTTTCTAATAATATTTTAGTTGTTTTTACTGCACAATAAATATAGAAAAAGATAAATTTGTCTCTGATCAATTTAAAAATAATAAATAATCCATGTAAAAATATTTTAATGCCCCTAAAATTAGTGTCAAGCTCATAGTTTTAAAACCCGATCTGGCAAACCTGAGATAGAACTGTACTGGATTTAAAAAGATAACATAAAAATTTAGTATGATCTTATAGGCTGATCCAGTTACTCGAAAAAATCTTATTGCAACTCATTGGCTTTTATTTTACTAAAACGATATTATTTTGATTTATTTAAAAAATAAAAATTAATTTTTATGATCAAGTGAAGCAGCCAAAATCCAAAACTCTTACACGAGGCAAAACCAAATTTAAAAACTATTGTTAAGCTTTATGAATGGAGGGGAAGACTCGTCCCTATACTATTCCAATAAACAATATTTATAAGTGCTCATCTATAGTGATTTTCTAGGGAGTTTCAGCTTCTTTTAATCTTTATCAAAAATATTTTTAATAGGAAAAGATAATAATGATGGTAAGAGATTGCAAGTTATTGGATTATAATAGCCTGTATGATTTTATAGTAGATTTTTTTTATTTAATGATTTATGCATACTCTTGAAATTTTTTATTGATTTTTTAAAGCACCATCATGTATTTTTTATTCTTTAATTATTGAGAACGGAAGAAACAAAATAAAAATGGAGGAATCAGCGTGAGGAATCAAAATAATGTTTTAATTTCAACACCGTTTCTTTAACAATAACATTGAACATGAATGAAATTTAAAAATTTTATTGTCTTAGTTTTCTTAAAAAAATAAATAATGATTAAAAGATAATTAAATTAATGATGATAATAATAAAAATGATATAAGTAATTTTAGTGATGATTATAACGAAGAAGTAGAAAAGCATTTTGATTGGGCTAACTCATTTTCTTGAAAGAAATTTTGAAAATGATTTTCAAAATACATGGAATAAATATCAGACAAAATGATAAAAATTCTTTCTATGAAAAAATTAAAAATAGTTTTTAAAAAACTTTAAAAAAAACCCTTCAATGATAGAAAACGGGCCCTAAGTTGTAACATTACGAGTGAGGCCCAAAACCATGTTTGGGTTTACGAACTACGAAGTGAAGCATAATTATTTTGTATAAACCTCAGTGAGAAGTCCACTGTGATGCCGGTGCTAAGAAAACTTGTCCAGCATAAGCTCCAAACGGGCTTGGGTTGGCCCGGTGTAAGCCGCAAAGTTGCGGGCCTTTCGTAACTACGTGGCTTCCCTCAACTTCTACTTGGAGAATGAGAATCTATGCAGGAGTTGAGCATTATTTAAAATACTTTGGAAAATAGAAATTTGGGTATTTCTTCGAAATAATTTCGGAAAACCTGAATTACCTGTAATATTTTTTTTTTAATTCACACACACACACACGCATATATAAGTAATTTGTTACTAGATTGGAAAAGAAAGAAAATACAGTGAAATAAAAAGAGATTTCGGATTATCTTGAAAATTCATTTTTTTATATTTTTTAAAATATAATTCGGAGAATCAAAAAGTTAATTCGGGATGGAGAATTTGAAAAAAAAAGCATTCAGAAAAAAAATTGAATTGACAAATCTTTACCCCAGTGCTCACCTCCAAGTAATCCATGTGAGGCTAGAATTTTCCCCCCTTTTTTTTGGATTCACTGTACATTGCTTTACAGCTTGAGTGGCCGGATCTTGAAGAAACATGCGATTTAAGATTTTGGAGGATAATTGTAGTTATATTTTAAAATATTTTTTGTGATAAAATGGATTAAAATATTTTTTTTATTTTTTAAAATTATTTTTAAAATCAGTATTAAAATGATTTAAAATATACAAAAAAAATTATTTTTTTTAAATTAATTTTTAAGATTGCAATTAAGATTGTTGTCCATGTTGAATATTCATTAGTTATCATGGAGATCATCAATCAATTTCATGAAATAATAATAATAAAAACAATAATTTGAGCTGATGTAATTTCAATCAAAACTGCAAGGCAATCTTAGCCAAGAAAATCTAGGTGGTTTGATTGGTTGTGATTGTCTGTCAATCGGTCACCCTCAACAATGACCGACAACGAATGACATGGCTTGCACGGCGGAGATAAAGGCTGGCATTGCGGTTATATTGGATTTTGAATTTTTTTAGTTTTGAATTATTATTTTTTATATTTTTATATCATTTTAATATATTAATATAAAAAATAAATATTTTAAAAAATAATACCTCAAAACATTTGTAAATAAAAATCACTTTTCACAGTACAAAGAAAACCCCAAAGTTGCACCAGCTAGCTTCTCTCCATGAATCCCCCTGTAAACAACCCTGTAGAACCCATAGTTATAATTAATACGATCCAGGCTCAGACAAGTTTTCTCGCCATGAAGATATGCTAACGATATTCTCCTCCACAAGCTCGCTTTCAAAAATGATCGGACTCTTTCAAAGTCAATATACACCCACAATTAACGACTACGTGTCAGGAATCTTTATCTAACTAGCGTCCTTCTTCTTTGTTAATTCCAAAGGCCTATTCTGTGTTATTTTGAATCCTTAAACATGACGAGTCGCGAAAGGATAGATAGAAACACCTTAAATTTCATGGTCTTGCATACAAAGGATAATTATTCTTCATAAAAATAATTAAAAAAGAAGAAGAGAGAGAGCCTGCAACTGCTGAAAGCAGCAGCACAGTGCTTGCACACGCACACACAAAGCATTACTTGCACTGGTCCTAGGTGCAGTAGAATTATGATAAATGATTGATCCACCTCATTATAAAGACTGTTTCATCAGTAACATACAAGACGCGCGGGTTTTCTGAACAATGGTAATCAACCTTGCTGCTGAGGAAATGCATTCCATGACTGAGAACCGCGCGCGGTGGTCCTCCTATCATGGCAACCAATCTGGCATGTAAGCAGTCATACTTGGGCCAGAAGTGACCACTGTTATAGCACTGTCAGGCTGATACCTGCAATTCAAAATTAAATCGTAGTAAGCCAAATCCTCCTCGTCCCTTTTGTTCTAGCACTGCAAACTGATTCTACAACATTGAAACGATGGCTTCCAGTGATATAACTTGTATAAAATAAGCACATTCAATGTTTTTTCCAATGACCATCATGATATTGTATCCCGCTGATAGGTTGTAAAACAGAAAGGATCAGACTAAGAGACCAGACATACCCAATTTGTAACGTAGGTTCGCACTCCAAAGGATGAAAGAATCCATAACCTTGGGGTTGAGCTTGTTGTCGAGAAAAACCCACATCTTCTGCACTTAGATTCAACTGGAGTGAATTTACTTCGTAGCCTTCCATCAACTGCAAAATTAAACATATATACCAACCCTCATGTCATCATCATATTCATTCTATTATTGACAGGGGAGATCAAATAAATTGGACTAATTTATGTTCAATCTATGAAAGTAACTTAATGCTTAGCAGTACTTTCCATTTTTATTTAACACAAATCTCTGACTTAAATTAAATCCAGGGTTTCTTGTTTCTAAATTAACTTCCTTCCACCTAATTTGGAAATGTAACATACCCTTTCTTTCAGAGACTTATTAGCTGCAGTCAACATGTGTTCCTGCATGTAATGCTGGGGTTGAGTGGAAAGAGCCAGAGAAGAAAATCAATAGACAACAAGTTTCAGAAGTTTCCGTACCTTATGCTGTAGATCATTGAGCTGATCCAGCATGTACTGGGTCTGTAGAACGGTAAGAGAAATTATAAAGTTGAGATATATATGCTAATTAGTGTCAAGTGCTATATTACATATAAAAATTACATGTTTGTGAGCAGCCAGGTCAAATTTAGCATTCAGGCACTTTTAACTGTAATTGTCTATGTGTTCTATTCTCATAATTTCACTTGTTAATCAGAACGCTAACTACTGAGTTTTATAACACACACACACAAACTCAGTAGTTAGATGTATGCAGGTATCCTTCTATCTTCAAACTATACTCAGATTAAATACCCTTGTTGATCTTATCTGCTTCAATGACATATCAAGCTGTCTTTCAAGTGATTCAAGTTCTTTGCTGCTCAGAGGACCAAGGTCTTCTCCCAAAAGATTCCTGTGGTGTGACGCCAATGACATATTTAGTGTGTTAGAACTAAATATCAAAATCAGATTTCAGTATTACGTGGGCATAGATAAGGTCACATTCCAATCAGCATCACCCTTCTAAGAGTACATTAATTTTAAACACTGTTGCTTCAGGCACTCTCACCTCTGGGTTCTTTGCAGAGCTTCGTAGCGTGCTTTAAGCTTCAGATATTCTTGCTGGCTACTCAGTTCCTGCAACCACAGCAAGAAAACCCATTTGAGCATGAATGATTCAAAATACCTGCAGATTATGGTAATAAAATTTGCATTACATAGTTTGCACTGAACTATCAGTACTTCTTGACGAGGCAGTTGCCAAAATATGTCAACATACTATTGATAATGTTGAGAGTATTATCCATGCCATGCTCCAAATTAATATAACACATTAAATTACTAGCGTCCTGAACACACACACACACACACACACACACACACACACACACACACACACACACACACACGGAGCTTCTCTATTCACTTCTAAAGTAAAAGGTGTTACATTTTTGTTTAAAAAAACATAGTGAATGGGTACATTTTATGACAAATTATAAGCGAGGTTTAATGGTAAATTTAAATATAATATTGTTAAATATTTACATTTAAATAAAATTATTTGTGTTAATTATATAAAATCAAAAGAAAATCTAGCGAATCTGCTAATTATAGGTTTATTGAAAGAGCGTATAATTAATTAAGCAAAATAAGCTTAAAACTTTTAAATATAAAAAATTATAATGATGGTAACTTGATTTAGTTGACTAAAAATCTTAACATCTAGGTTTAAAGAAAAAAATAAATCACATAATATTTCTAGTATCACTAAAAAAATCATTATTTTTCCAACCTATTCCTATGAAAAATACATAAGTGGCAACATGATAAAGGACAAGTTGTGCTTTTAATGATTTTCATATCTTAGTATATCAAATATAGTATATAAAATAATTTTAATAAAAAATCAATTATATAAGTGATAAATATGATTGTTTCTTTTAGAATTAAAATTTTTTTTATCTAAAGTACTCATGAAATCATGAGTTGTTCATGGACAAAATGAATACAACTGTAAGAACAAAAAAAAATCTCTAAGAAGATAATTGTATATGTATTATTATCTTGGTTTATATAAAAGGTTGATTGATTCGTTCATCAAATACCATGTGTTCTAGACTTTTTATTTTATGGTATCTTCTAGAATCACATGCACTTAAGTGAAATGCTGATGACTCTTCTATTAAAAACCTTGTCTTAATGGTATTAGTAGGGTTCTTCATGATCATAATGGTCTTGTGATATGTTTTTTCTCTTCTCTTGTGGGAATTAAAGATTCAAACAAGGATAAATTGCTTACTATAATTAAAACTTTTGAATTACCTTCTACACAAGATGATTTTTTTTTAGAGATTTCATGAACCTTTTATTCTAGCATCTAGTTTCTCTTAACAATTGAGCTTTTTATTTTTTTGTTATATTTTATGTGAGGCTAATCATATATAGCTGATAATTTTACAAAACAAGGTGTGAGAAGAATATGTCACTTCATGGCTTGGATTTGAAGGAACTAAATTTTGAATATTGTTAAAGGCTTATTTTAAACAACAACGGTGTTTTGGGTATCGAGTATCTTTATATTTTACATATTTTTTTGTATTCATCTTATTAAGGCATTGTTATGCTTATGCTTATTAAGAAAGAAAACATGAAAGATTGAATAATTCAAGAAATAAAATTATTATTTAGCTGAGTGAATCCGATATTATTTTTCTGAGGGATGTTAGAAACTGAAAGCCATCCATCTTAATGTAATGATCTACTAAATTATTATATCTCTACAAATCTTTGAGTTTTTATTATTGGTTAGTAAGTTTTTATTTTTATGAGAGATAGCTTTTTTTTTAAAAAAATATGGTTAGTAGTCATATTTGAGGTCAAATTAAAGTGTGGTCCACTTACTTTTGGAGTTAAAATTTTATTAGAAATTATTCTTCAATAAAAGTTCTTTAATATGAAATACTAATATGATTAAAATAAATTATGGATGAATAATAAATAGATTTAGAAAAACTCTTGATTGATATATTTTTATGAAACCTAAAACTTTTTATCTCAAGTTGAAAAAAAACTACAATATTTGTAATTCATATAGTGAGAAGTTGAAGAGTTACAAAAAGATTTATGTAAAGTAAGCTTAAGGCTTAAATCATAAGCGCATGAGACCTTAGCTTCTAATACTAGGTCTAGGTTTGTGTTTATTATCAAATAATTTTTTAAACTAAAAGGAATTATTTTTTATTTTTTATTTGTTTATTATGGACTTAGGTATGAGTTTGCTATAAAATAATTATTTTGTCCATAAAAAATAATTTTTCACCAAGTCTATGAATAAACAATTTGAACAATAACCTTTCACCTCTTAAACAATTTCATTTTTTAAGTAAAAAGTAAAAACAACTTATTTTTAAAGCAAAAATTATGGATTGTTTACTTGTTTATGGCAAGTAATAATAAAAATATGGCAAAAACTAATTATGATAACTATCATAACTATGTATTGTTTAGATTTCAAAAATTACTATAAATTAATAAAGGTTGAATGAGAGATGTTTGCATATATTTCAACAACTTATTTGTCTTATTCTCTTATGTATTCGAGTTTCTTTTGCCTTAGTTTTTGTTCCATTTTACTCTATCCTATAGCTTAAATTCCTGACATTCATTGAGAATTTTGAGTTTTATTTTCTTGAGTTCGTGTACTTTGTTTGGATACTCAATTAAATAAAATGATATTGAAATCTTAGCTACTATAATTATTGATATGATCATATTTGCTCTAAAAGTAATAATAAAATCTTAATAATAAATGATTAATCAATAACAACAACATATTTTTATCTTAATCAAATTTTAGGATTTTTAATAAGCAAATAGCTTACGTCTATGCTTTCTTTATATAGTTTAAGTATAATAATTGTTTTGATACATGTTAATAAGTATGCTAAGATTTTTATTGATTCAAGTGCTACCTTATATATTTATGCTTAACATAAGATTTTATTTTTAAACTCTATTACAAGTTCATGTTTTTTTTCCTTGTTGCATTCAATCGAAACAAAATAATTATAACCTCTAAATCTTCGGATAATAAAGGAATCATGATAAAGTGATTCGAACCCTTATCCACATTAGCATTATAAAATATAAATTAAAAATTAATCAAATCAAATAAAAAGACCAAATCCTAAAAATTAATGAATCATTTAAGCGTGCAAATTCATTTTCCATCTTTATCATCCTTTGCCTCTTCCATAGAAATAAATAATGACATAACTATATATATATATGATAATAATGTTTTATTTGTTAAGATCCAGCCTTCAATATGTATCCAAAAAATAGAACTACAATATACATAATGATAATACTTGCTTATCTACGAAAAAAATAGAATTAAACTATTCATGTTAGCGGGTCATGAGTTTGGGTAAAAAATCTGCACTCTACACATTTTATTAAGTATAAAAAATAATCATGGCTTGAGAATGGTTTAAAAATAAAAAAATTAATAAGCATAGTTTTTACTAATAGATTTGAAGCCAAAAATACCTTTCCTTGAAATCATTTTCTCAAAATTATCTAAAGATAAAGGACATCCTGCAGCTGCCAAAAAGCGGTTTGCATTCCCTCAATTATAAAAATGGCATTAATCATGAGTACCATGAGAATGTGTTCTAAGGACATGGTGTTAAGTAGGTTTTAAAGACCACTGCTAACTGTATCACTTGGCAAAATCTTCACCAACCAATTACTGTGTTGGTTACAGTTTGCTATACACTTGCTTCTTGTCACTTCACAGGATTTCACTTCAAGCTCGGGTTGTTTATTAAAAAGTATTTTTTTAAAGTAAATTATAAAAAAATAAATTATTTTTAATATTTCATAGAATAATAAAAAATAAATTAAAAAATACATTTCAATATTTGGTTATGTTATGAAAAATAAAATAAAAAATTAATTATTAATATTTTATTTTTTTAAGTTTATTAAAATAATAAAGAATAAATTTTATAAATTAAAAACTTGAATAAGAATAAAATTAAAAATATATATAATTTTCTTCATAATTACCGAAAAGTGATTTTAGTCAAAAATAAAAGGAAAATAATTTTTTAGAAACCAAATCAAATTTTTTTAATTAGAAAATGTTTTTTATTGAACAAAAAATATTTTTCATTTACTAAAAAATATTTTCTATTCATTAATTTTTCTAATAACAAACAAATTTAAAAAATTAAAAATTAATTTATCAAAAAATATTTTTCAAGAAACAGTCTTTAGGCACTCGCGTCGTTCTTTATTGTTGATGTTTTTATGAGCCAGGAGCCCAGGATGCGTTTTTCCTATATATTATTAAAGAGCACCATCAAGTCCACTTTGCTTGGAGAAGAACACAAGAAAAGAAAAACTGCAGCAACAGATTGCAACAGCTAAAACACAATGCTGTTATGTGTCACGAAAGATTTTATTAACTTAGTTAATTCAACATTGTAAGAGAACAAACACAGTTCAACAGAATGCGCAACTGGCTGAAATAAATATGATTGCTGCATAAATAGTGGTCATAATCAGCACAAAATAAACAATTTTTCCCCTCAAACATTTTAGTTCTGAAACATATCTCAAGGGCATCATATATCCATACTCTGTGATAATTTTAGGATTTTTTTCTTCATTGCAGTGCTAACTGTCATACAAACCTGATTGTTTTTATAAAATCACTGAAGTTCAAATTTTGAAGGATTATATTAAAGACCGGCAGAGAGAGAAATGCAAAGAATATTAAAGGAGAAGCTAAATTTAAATACCAAGGCCTCCCTTGCTGATACATTTGGCTCTGGTGCTCCGTAGTTGCACTTCTGGTACCTCTCAAGAGTTTTGAGCATGCTGAACCAACAATAGTATCAATCAGTAATTTTTAAATCTTGAAATCTAACCATCGAGATTGAAAATTGTAACAACATATAGTGAGAGGTATGGGCACAATATATGTAGGAAGGGTTTTCATTTCAGCACAATCCTTTTCCGATAATGTGAAATCTTCATAAATTAATACCAAAACTCATTTACAATTCATGTTGTTATTAACTCAAGAAATTAACTTCTTTCGACAATGGATACTAACAACAAACGATTCACAACGAGAGAGAGATCCTGTAGTGTAGTTACGACATGGTAATTGACATAAAGGTGGCCAAATATTTTTCTAATGGATTATTTTTTTTCCAGTTTAACTTCATAATACATGTATGTGAAAAAGTTTGAAACGATCTGAATTGATCATTAAATTTAAAATTTAACAAATTGATTGTGTTTCTCTTATTACGGAGCTTTCTTTTCCTAATATTGTTACTAAACTAGATCTATTTGAGTCCTTAAATGTAAAACAATATTTTTTTCCTGGCTAGTAAGGTCACCCGAAAGGATACGAAGAGCACACCCTCTTCCTTATTAAGAAACTCTTTATTGGAAAAAAAAAAACCCAAAATTTTGATGTTTCTAGATGAAATTTGAAAAATAAATTGGGTTGCGTATAGGTATGGTCATGTTATTGATGACAGCCGAAATGGAAGCCAATATTCAAGCAATTAAGCGGCTAACACAGTATACTGGGAGACAAATGATGATGATTTTAAGCAATGAAGTTTAAAAAGAACAATGACTGAGCACGGCTTGATGAAGGATGGTTAAATTGACAATAGAATTACCCCAGCCCAGATAAAACACTTTTCTTTTCATAATTTATTTTCCACGAAAGTGTGGTTGCTATTGCAGTTCTGCAATTTTCTTCTATCACGAAAGAAAATAAAGACTTCAAATTTAAGCTGAAATTAAAGCTTGATTAAGGCACAGGAGATGGAAACGAAAGTTTCTATCATAACACACACTATAAATTAATTAAGAGATTTTATTTCATCTATTTTTTTGTAATTTTTCTAAAAACAATCAAGCAATAATCCCAGAAAAAAATCTCCTAATTGGTCCAATAATTCAATAGAAGAAAAGTGATTAGCCCTATCTTAAAAGCTTAATTAATTAAAATTGTTTGGACATAAACAGTCACATCGTACAAAGTACACACAAAACCCTAGCGTAATCAAGAACATGAAATATAACATTGGACTAGAATTAAGGGTACTGTTAATTGTACAAGAACAAAAAAGGAACTACCTATCAAGAGGAATTAGAACATCCATGGACATTAGATTGATCACCCCTAGGACCCTAAAACTCACTTACGGACTTCGAAAACTCAACATTACTGATATAACTTCTGATCTGAATGGAAGAGGACAATTCAGAGAGGACTGATCTGTAGATATAAAAAAACCCTAAGATCCTAGCAGCTTTGGAAAGATCAAAACCCTAGATGTCTCGATTAGAATTCATATGATTGGAAAGCTTCTCTGTCCACAGGAACAGAAAGGCGAGAGTTGAAGATCTAATGGAAAGAATGGATGCTCCTATGTGAAAGGACTAGTCTGAAGAAAAGAGAGGAGGCAAAATGTCTCATTCATCTTGATTCATAAAAAAAAGGAGAAAAATCTGCTGGAAAAAGTATGGGGGTAGAGAGCATGAACTATTGAGAACCTGTCTTTTCCATCATGTAATTAATCTTAATCATAACAAAAAAAATATATATATTCAAATTAACATGTGAAGACTTTGTGAGGTAGTTGGTAAAACATCTAAAAATTAAAAATTCATCAGACAGAAAATCAATTAAGACATGGAATGAAAAAATAAAGGTAAATTGAAGAAAAACCCTAAGCTTCATAGATTGCAAGTGAGAGAGAGAGCAGGATCAGCTGACTTGCCAACTTTCTTCAATCAAAACTCAAGAAAATTGTACTTGCTCAGCGAAAACCATGTTAATTTGGATTTAAAATGAACAATTGAAGGCCAAATTAACCTCGAAATGGTTAAATGAAAAGGGCCAACTCTCTCAAAGATTATTAACAAAGAAAATGAAAGAAGAAAGAAGAGAAGATTATCTCTGAAATCGTGTAATAACGGTGCTATGTTGGATCCTGAAGAGAAAATGAAAGGAGAAGAGTGATAAAAAAGAAAAAAGATGCATTAAAACTCTTAGCTTGTTAAATTAAGAAGAAAACTCAAAGTTGCATAGCTTGGTGGGCTTTGAACAGTTTGAAAAGCAATGGATCATCCAAATTTCACTTTCCCAGAAGAAAAATGAACATACAAATGGAAAATTCAGATAGCAAGCCAAGAGGGAAAAGAGAAGGGGAAAGGGCAAAAGACTCCGGAAAAAAAAAAAAGAGAGAGAGTGATAGAGTTGAGTCAATATAACAGTTGAAGAGATACTTATCTTTCTTTTTTATTGTTTTCCAGTTGCAGATCTAACATCAACAACACCACAAACACACTCTACCTGCTATAAACGCCGAGACATTCACAGAAACGGAAACAAAAAGAAACCAACTTTTGTTTCCATCTCTCTCTTTTCAATTCTCAAAACAAAAGCTTAAAAAACCCAACTCTGGAAACAGAAAAAATCAACTTCCAAAGCCCTGAAAATCTAAAGAAGGTTTCAAAACAAGAAACAAAAAAGGGGTCAAAGAAAAACTGATTAAATCTAGCTAGCGAAGAGAGTGAAGGAAGCTGAGAGAGGTAAAAGAGAGAAGCTTTTCTCTTTTCTTGTGTGTGTCGACGTGTACAAAAATTGGTTTGTTTTGGTGATACCTTGAACTACTGCAAAACTCGTACAGCTTTCCTCTATTGGAGAAGATGATGAGAGCAACCTCTGCATCACAAAGAACGGAAAGCTCATAGGCTTTCTTCAAAAGTCCATTCCTTCTCTTTGCAAATGTTACTTGCCTGTTGATCTTGTTCTCAATTCTCTTCAACTCAACCCTACCTCTCCCCATAGTTTCTCCTTTCTTTCTTTCCTTCAAAAAAATCTTTCTTTTATTTTAGCACTCAAGTCAACAAATCCCAACAATTCTCCACACACAGAAGGCTTCTCTTCTCCTCTCTCTCTCTCTCTCTCTCTCTCTCTCTCTCTCTCTCCAATCACCAACACTTTTATTAGTATCACTTAATCTATGTTCACCTTTGTTAGAAATCTCACTAAAACAATTAATCAACAAAAGAAAGAGTAATCCATCCCTCGAAATATTTAAGAACTACTCTACAATTATTGAGAAATTAACACTAGCTAGTAAGAATAATATATAGCAGTAGAAAAGGGATTTCCAGTAAGTAAGAATGACACTGACAGCCTCTATGTTTTTTTTTTAAGCAACTGTTTGATAACGCGGTAAAGGATATTTTTGTAAAAATCTTTTTAATAAAAAAATATTCAAAAGTAATTTTTAATTTTAATTTTTTATATCAGCACTAAATTGAAAAAATATTAATTTAATATTTTTTTAAATTAAAAACAATTTATAAAACAGGTTGGCAATTACGAAACAAGTCATAAATCAATGGTGTACTGTGCCGAGCTAGATGGGCTGTAAATTGTGCGGTGAACTTGGGAGAATGGATGGACGGTGGAGAACAAGTCAGAATGGAGAGAGGAAGTGTACTTGAAAAAGAGAGAAGATCGGGGCATGGGAGGAATAAATGTAAAGTAGGAAGGGTAAGTTCCACGTGTCGAAAGATAAAGTGAAAAGGGCTTCTGATTATCCACCTGACTATTTTCGGTTTTGGGCAATCAGGTGACTTAACCTTAAAATGTTTTATTCCTAGTTTCTTTTCTTTTACCATGATGCCCTTGCATTCATTTTTGTGTTTTGGGTTTTGGCCATGGGCTGTTTGGTTGTTTTTCCGCGGGATTAAAGGGCAGAGATGGGGCAAAAACAAGATTGTTAAAGTGATTTTACAAGTAAATATATATTTATTTTAAAAAATAAAAAATTAATAAAATTCAAGGACTAAAATTAAAATTGGTAATTTCCTGATTTTAAATATTAATTTTATATTTTTATTAAAAATAAAATTTAAAGACTCTTCAATCTTAATTTATAATGACAATTACTTTACTAGTTTTAACTGATTATTTTTCATTACCACAACAATATCACACACGATATCTTCATCATTATCTTAATAGACTAGATCATTCATCTTCTTTTTATTAACAAACCAAACATGACACCATGATCATCAACATCAATAATAAAATAATTTGAGATTCACAAGTTATTATTTCCTCCACAACCTAAAAATTTATAACCATCACAAGCATTAACATCTTCTTTTTTTAAAGAAAAAAGAAAAGTTGATAAACTTTTTAGTTCAAGTCTTTGGACAAAACAACCCTAATTTGGATGTGGATTATGTTGATGTCATTTATTTTCATTGGAATGTTAATTATTTTTTTGTTAATTAATATCTTTTTGTTTGGCTTGTGAATTTATTTATGTTTGAATACATTAGATTTTTTTTTCTTAGAAATTTTAAAACTGATCGACAGATTATTGTTGTTTATGGTGTTTGCTATTTCTTATTAATTTGCTATTTCTTATTAATTTGTGAATTGTTGGATGGTATGTAAAATTTGAAGCATTGATCAGTTGTTGGCTTTAGTTCTGTCACAAGAGGGATATGATGATAAAGAATCTGCAGATGCAAACTAGTGAAATAAGTCAATATGGATAGTTATGTTGCTTGTTTCATGAAATTTGTGTTGTTTCTAAACCATTCCTTTTCTATAAGCTTATTGTTCAAGACTATGAGATTATTTTGGTGTCCTTTTCCTATGAAGGGAATTTTTTCTTGACAGGTTAGGTTTTGGGGTTTTATGCTTTTTATTTATGTTTAATATGAGATTTTTTTTTGTTCAGCCTTAGTTTTTGCTATTGCTTTATTGGATAGAATTTGTACTCTACATTATTTATGATTTTATGATACTTTTTTACTATCTGAGTTTACTTACTGAAGTTGAATTCAACTTTTCTTAACTCAATTGGTTTGATGCACTAGTTAGGTCTAAGACATAGATTGACATAGATTGGACAAGTTGATGAGAAGTTAATTGATCCAAGACAATTAAAAAGAATTATTTTTAAAATTTAAAATAATATCATTTTAAATTTATTTTAAAAAAAAATCAACAATCAAGTCAATTTCTAATTAATTTTTTTTACACCTAACCATAGTCAGTGCATCGACCAGTCAAAGTTGGGTTCATAACAATGCTTTTCACACCTTCTTTTATTCACTTCAAGTTATAAGAAGGGATAGTGAATTAATTTCCTGCTGATTATTCAATTTCCCATTATCTATCTATCTATCTATCTATCTATCTATCTATCTATAGATATACAACAGATTATGTATATTTATATTTATATTTATATTTCGACGCAACATGCTAATTGATCTCAATGAAGTCAAGTGTTGATTGATTGAAATCCTTTCACATTACTATTAATTACATGACTTGTTATGCTAGCCAACTTAATTATATGAAAAAAGTAATAATCATTGTCTAAAAATAAAAACAAGCACCGCATCGATCAAAACAATAAGTTGACAGAATCTTATTGCAGATTTAATGACTGTTAATTCTGAAAGCGTGGTTAATTTGAGCTTCATATTCTGATATGGTAATTGGACCTTTGAATAAAGAGATAGTCAACAATTTGCTACGAAACCACTCGTCCACGTACAGTTATCTCTTACCTCAGCACATCAGCCTATCTCACGTCTAGGAATAGGAGTAATTGATCTCTGCATATTAACACCTTCGATTACTCTCGTTGTTCTTGCTGTCTCCAACTCTTTGTTTTCTTGGTTAGGCTTCCAAAAGTGCCCGACTTCCATGGCTATCTGACCAGATCGCTGTCGTGATATTCCTATTCCGACCAGTTTTGAACATCATCAACGACTCTCATTGTGGACGTCCCGTTGTTTAAAACAAAGAACAAGAGGGTGCTAAAAGCAGTACTGTCGCCTATAAGAGATTCGAATTGCTCGATCGCCACCAGATCTTTTTGAATATGTTAAGCATGACAATTCTGATAGGCAAAAACCCATGCTAGTTTTACCATTTAAGCTTAAACATTTCTTCTCATGCTTGATTCACAACTAGTATATGTTGTCTACACTTGAAAGTAATCACAAGTTTAATAAGTTTAATGAGTTGATTTGAATTTTTTTAATTTTATATTTTAAAATTATTTTGATTAAGAATTATGTCTCATGATTTATTTTGATTTAATATTTATAAAATTATGTTAGTCTTATGATTCAAGTCACGAGTTTGACAAGTTAACAAACTTGACTCAAATTTTTTTAATTGATATTTTTTTTAATTTTATCATTTAGCATTGGATTGGTTATAAATTAATCTTTATAACTTATTTTGATTTATTTTTTATAAGGTTATTCTAGTCTTATAATTTAGGTAACGTGTTTTGCGAGTTAATCCGAATAAACTTTAGTGATTTTATTATATTCTATTTTTAAAAAATATTTAATAATAAATTTATCAAAAATTAACTTTTATAATTTATTTTAATTTATTTTTTATAAAGTGCTTACAATCTATAATCTTATATTTTAGGTTTTTGATTTAATAATGGTACTCATTGATAAGTTTTTTTGTGTGTACATGTCTAATCAAAATGTATGCTTTAATTTGGAAAAACGAAGAAGAAAATCCATAATTCAATCTTGAGAAGCTCAATTAATAATAATGAAATGATGAGAGGTAAACTTAATTAATTCTATAATGAAACTCCAATTTTCATCCGACTATTATTATTATTAAAGGCAACAATACAACAGAACACACAGTAAATCACTGAGAGGACCTTACAAATATTGCAATTGAGTAGCTAATTTCATCTATAAGAGATCCTAAGTTTGTCCAAAATGCATGTGTGTATGTACAACCACCTTATATTCCTGGAAAAACATTGACGGTTCTTTTCTTCTTTGTCTGAGCTAGCTGTTGTGGGACAAATTCCAGTCATCTGCTTTCCATTATTGTTATTAATTTATGGTCTTTCACCTATCAAATTCATTAGTTACAGTGAGTGAATTATAGTTGCAATTTAGTTTTCAACCGAATTAGTATTGTTTGTTGAAAAATATAACTAGTACTATAATTAAGTTGTTTTCTTAAAAAAAATAATAATAATTAAATAACAGCATGTATAATTTTTGTATTACTTGCATTCATTGCTTGGAATTTATTATTTAAAGATAATCAATTCAAATTATATATACATATTATTAATTTTAAAACTTATCAAATTAATCAAAATATATATAAACTAATCTAAATATTTATGTTAATAAAAAAAATTTACAAGGAGAAAAATTATGATAAAAGTTTCCGTCGGTCATCAACCGCACATCAAGAGCGCTGATGACAAAAAACAAAGCCCACATGTGTTCACCTGCTGGAAAGCTCAGTTTCGAACAGTGTGAAGTGGTCCAGTAACATACGACATGGCTGGTGAGCCATTGCCTTTGCGTATCACTGTTCGACCAGCCATCAAGTGACGGAGCAAAGCAGCTCTGTCGTTGATCTTTAATGCAGACAACCGGAGATGGGCAATTAAGCTCAACGTCAAGATGATGAAGGAGCGGTTGGCGTTTACTACCACCAGAAAAATATGCCACGGTATGCGATACACGGAATCATCTTTCACTAGTATATTATTTATTTTATATTGGATAACACGAGACTTTTAGGGGGGGCTTAAATTGATAACCTTAATCTGAAAATAAATAGCGGGACAAATCCTCAAATTAATTAGATAGTGTATTTTTCTGTTACACAAAGGCTCAACACTCAAAATTAATATAAATGCCAGCATAGTTATCAAATTTGGTTTAAAGCCAGGTCAGTCAAGTTAACTTACATATACATAAGTCAATTTACATATATTTTAAGAATAAAGTTGCTTTGAATTTTTTAAATGAAATAATTTTGAAATAAAAATTAAGAAAAAACTAAAAAAAAATTATTTTGAATTAAACTTTTCTAAAAAAATTCTTAGAATTGATCCAACAAAATCAACTGAATCACAAATTGATCCATAAATCATTTGAGTTCAATCATATCACCTTTAAATTTGATTTGAAAGCAAACTCAACCAAGGCTAAATTATGGATCAATGAGATGCCAAACCTCTTAAGTTGGATCTAGTTTTTGATAACTATATATCGCAGGTTAAATTT